AGGGCTTCCAGACTATAAATCTATACAGAATCAAACACTGCCTAACCCACAGTGCTACCAAGATACATCATAGAATCCCCTCTGCAGAGAGGATCCTGAGAAAGGAGAGTCTGTGGAAGCCCCGATTATTAACTGAGTGCTCTTGGGAAAAGTAGTCAAGCCCTCTGCGAGCCTCCATTGAGTCTCATCTGTGATATGGGACTATGGAACCCATTAGGCTAATGTGAGGAAAAGGTGAAATCCTGCATTTCATAGTGCCTGGCTCGAGGAGCCCACCAGTGTTTGTCCTCCACCCAATCTCTGTGCCTCCATTTCCTTAGTCAACACTCACTCACTCACTGCCATTTAGTTAATACTGACTCAGAGAGATCTTTGGTCAGAGTAGAACCATCACTGTGGGTTTCTGAGACTGTAACTCTTTACAGGAGTAGAAAGCCTCATCTTTCTCCTGAGGAACTGCTTGGTGGTTTCAAACTGCTGACCTCATAGTTGGCAGCCCAGCACTTCTAGCCATCACAGGAAAATGATAATAGATACTCTGAAGGATTGTACCACTTTGAGATATCTGGGTGGGTTTGAACCGCCAACCTTGTGGCTAGTAGTGTTTGCACATGACCTCCACCAAGGGTATATAACTTATTGCTATTGAATTGTGTCTGCCTCACAGTGACCTGATAGGACAGAGTAGGGCTGTCCTATCGGTTTTCAAAGCTGTGATATTTACAGGAGCAGGCTGCCACATCTTTCTCCAGCAAGATAGGTTTGAATTGCTGACCTTATAGGATAGGTGCTACGAGTAACTCTTATATTCATCTTTCATTCTTCTCAAATTTTTTTCTCCTCAGACTGCTCAGAGGCATTTTCATTCCATACCGCACAGCTTAGCAGTTCCTGGTGCTCTGTGGCTTAGCTCACCTCATCTCGGCAGCCAGACGGTGAGCTTTGGGAATGTCAGCAGGCCCAGGCCATGCAAACATTCCCCATCTCTCAGCATGCCGGCTCATACCCCTGCCCCATAAACCCAGCCACTCAGTGACAGACAGAGAAGCGGTTCCAGTCCAAAACTCCAAACCAAATTCATTACTATCAAGTTGATGCTGACTAATCAATGCTGACTCATGTCCTACAGGGCAAGGTAGTACTGTCCCTATGGGTTTCTGAGAATATAACTCTTTCTGAGAGTAGAAAACCTCATCTTTCTCCTGTGGAGCAGCTGGTAGTTTCAAACTGCTGACCTTGTGGGTAGTAGCCCAACATATTAAGCACAATGCCACCAGGGCGGTTCCAGTTACCCCTAGCGAAATCCCCCAAAGTGGAGATGAGTCTAAAACTCAGAACCAGTGCTTGCACACTGTGATCTTTACGCGTCCAATTGTTGGAGAATCAAGGTCCTGGGGGCTTTGCCTTATTGCCCGTGGCAGTGTCCATGAGGAGGCCCAGGACCCTGAGCATCATGCTGCTGACCGCCATGGGACACTGGCTTTGGCTCACGTGTCTCAGCACCATTTGGGGCGGCTCCACACTCAGGGTTTTGCACTCTGGGGGTGAGGAGGGGTCTGGAGGGCTGGCGAGTGCCTGGTCTGCCTGGCTGAGAGACTGGTCATCTGAGAGCATTTCCTTGAGGCTCCCCATGTCCTCGTCACCTTCTATGCAGGACTGAAGGATACGAATCACATATTCCAAAAGCAGCAAATGAAACAGATGCCTGGAGCCGATATTAAAATCAACAAACAAAGCCCCACAAAATGAGTGGATAGACAGATATACATAGATTGATCTCTGAGCAGCTAACAACTTTTCTGGGGCATTTAACTCCTGTTTACCGCAGTCTCCTTCCTAGAGGAAGACACACTCAGCGCCTTTGAGTCAGTTCTGACTCTGCGACTGTACAAGGCAGAGAAGAACTGCCTGGGGGGGGAGGTGCTCAAGGCTGTCCGTCTGGCCAGAAGCAGGCTACCTCACCTTTCTTCCACAGAGTGGCTGGTGGTTTTGAACAGTCAGCCTTTCCACTCGCAGTGAGCACTTAACACCGTTCCCTCTGGGTGCCCCCCATTCCTGTAGTTCATCAACACTAGCTAACATCACACACCTCACCAAGGAAAGGCGGGTCCAGCCACCACAGTGAGGGGGCGTTCATCAGGCAGGAGGTGGATTTTGAAGTTGATCATTTTGTATGGCCTGAGAATGATGTTATACATGCCCAAATGGCCCTGGGCAGGAAAAAGGCTCCCTGCCCCTGTTAGTATAGTCGATCCTCTATCGGAGTCAGGCCAGGAGAGTCAGGAGGCCGCATTTCATACCCCGAGAGCCTGCAGCAGGACAGCTTTTGCGCACAGGAAAACGTGAACCAAACCAACCTAGCCGCTGGGAGGGGACTCCAACGCACGCTGACCCGTGCGTGTCCGAGGAGACCGCGCGCGCCACGGAGTTTCCAGTGGCTGGTTCTCCAGGCTGGAGCACCGGGTGGGCTTCGGGATTAGCAGCTGAGCACGGCACCATCTGCACCACCCAAGGGCTGTGTCACAGCGAGCGCTTTGTGCATTCCGGAGGGACTCCGGAGCGTTACATGGGGGCACATCCCAGAAACCCCACTCTCCCTCCACCTTAGCGGTCCCGGTCGGTGCTTGCTTGAAATGTGACAAATAGCATAACTCAAGCAACCAGGGGACGCTTCCTCCGAGCTACACAATGAACCGTGCTGTATCTGTTTGGTGGGCTATCGCCTTGCCGTTAAAAAAGATGACTGTGGGTGTGGGTGGGTTCTGTATCTATGTTTCATTTTATCTGGGGACAGGGAACGCTTTTGCTGCCCAGGGCCATTTGGATATCTATAGCATCGTTCTCAGGCCATACTGCTCACACGTTTAATGAACTCGTTCTCAATGTGATGGCTGGCGCTGTTTCTCCTTGGGGGGCATGTGCTGCTAGCTGATGGGGATGATTTCTCGAGCCTTGTGGAGCCCTGGCGGTGTAGTGGTTACTCATGGGGTTGCGATCCACATGGTCAGCAGTTCGAAACCACCATCAGCTCCATGAAAGACTGACTGGGCTTTCTACTGCTGTGAATAGTTTTAGCCTGGGAACCCCCTAGGGGGTTGCTGTGAGTCAGCAATGACTTGATGGCAGTGAGATACGCCGTGGCTGGACGTTCCCCACTCCTGTTTTATACTGAAGAAAGGTTAACCATAGTGACCACGGGTTCTGCATAGCACCATAGACAGCACTTAGGCCAGGGGTTCTCAATGTTCCTAATGCCACGACCCTTTCATACAGTGCATGTGGTGATGACCCCCAACCATAACATTCTTTTTGTTGCTACTTCATAACAGTCATTTTGCTACTGTTATGAATCGGGTGACCCCTGTGAAAGGGTCATTCGACCCCCAAAGGGGTTGCGACCCACAGGTTGAGAACTGCTGCCCTAGGCGATCAGGATGCCTCCGAAGGGTAGAAGACAGATGCTGGTGTCCCCTCCCACTCACCAAAGCTATCCCAGTGGCAGAGGGTCATCGCTTTGCCACGGCTGTGAGAAGGAAATTCCATCTTAGCTGGAAGCTGGCAGCCAATTGGATAAACTCTTCCTTGCTTCCCCGTGGCTATTACATTTTTGTGAGACAAAATAAATAAATAGATAGATAAATGCCGAGGTTTATGATTCAGCCGAGGAGAGTGATGTGCCATTCAACACGCACATTTGTCATGAACAGACACGTCTAAAGGGTCAAGCGAGATGGGGGCAGAGACGAGGATGTTTGGGGCGAGAACTGAGGGACGTCATGCCGGGGGGCACCTATTTCTGGTCTTGTTCCATCCCCTGCAGAGTTGATTCCAGGGCAGACCCTTTGAAGTCAGCGGAGAGAGGAGGGTGATGGGAAGCTGGCCTACTTTTTAAAAATCCCCACACGATCTTTTAAAACGAGGTCACTAGTGAAACGCAACACAGAACTGCTGCCGGGGCAGACTCCCTTCTGCTTGGCACACAGCTACCCGAGGCTGCCGGCGGCTTTTAGCCCGCATTTCTGCAGGCCAGCCCTGACCGTGGAAACGAACGCGGGGCTCCATCTGGACAGAAAGGAACGTGTTTAGTCCACCGCATGTGTCAGTACATCACCCCTGGGCACGGGTCCCACTTGTCCCTCCAGATTTTGAAACCACCAGCCGCCCAGTGGGAGAAAGAGGGCTTTCTATTCCCATAAAGAG